CCCAGCCAGCCCAAGGAATATGGGTACAAGGCCAGGACGGACGCCCGGGGGGAGATCCTGTCCGTGGCCCCCTGGTTCCGGGTTCCCTACCCCTGTGAGTGCCTGGCAGCCCCTTCGCCCTGGGGGACGTGGGGAGCTGGTGCAGCGTCACCGGGGCTGGGGAACACCCGCCAGGGGCCCCACAGTGGTGAGGGCCGGGGGTGCTCCCAACCCTGACCTCCTGCTCTGACCCCGGGCAGGCCAGTGGGGTTTGCCCACGGTGACCTCGGCGGCCGTGCTGGGCATGTTCAGTGCCACACTGGCGGGCATCATCGAGTCCATCGGGGACTATTACTCCTGTGCCCGGCTGGCAGGGGCTCCCCCGCCCCCCGTGCATGCCATTAACAGGTACAGCCAGCTGTTGCCCCGTCCACGGTAGCCCGCCCACACCGTGGCATCCCTGGAGACCGGTCAGGGATGCCGCAGGAGAGTGGGATGGGGACCAGCCCGACCGCGTTGTTCCCCAGGGGCATTTTCACCGAGGGCATCTCCTGCATCATCGCGGGGCTGCTGGGAACTGGCAACGGCTCCACCTCCTCCAGCCCCAACATCGGCGTCCTGGGCATCACCAAGGTACCGGGGCCGGGGAGGGGTCCCGGCTGCGCCGAGGGGCGCAGGCATAGTCACCACCTGCCGGTGTCTCTGTGCAGGTGGGGAGCAGGAGGGTGATCCAGTACGGCGCCGGGATCATGCTCGTGTTGGGGACCGTCGGCAAGTTCACGGCTCTCTTCGCCTCCCTGCCCGACCCCGTCCTCGGCGGGATGTTCTGCACCTTATTCGGTAACTGCGCCGCAGCCGCCCCCAAACCCGGAGCGCTGCTCTCAGCAGCCCTGGGCCGTGTCCTCGCAGATTTTGGGGCTGGTGAGCCCAAGGGATGCAGGGCAGTTTTGGCTGGGACCGTGGCTGCCTCCTTACACCCCTGCTGGGGCAGCCTCTCCCTGTGCCCGGCTCCCGCGGGCACCTCCGCCTGCATCGCCGCGTCTCTGCCGGCAGGAATGATCACGGCCGTCGGCCTCTCCAACCTGCAGTTCGTCGACATGAATTCCTCCCGAAACCTCTTCGTGCTGGGCTTTGCCATGTTTTTCGGGCTCACGCTACCAAACTACCTGGATTCCCATCCTGGGGCCATTAACACAGGTACCCTCAGCCACGAAAAGCCCTAATTTGGAGTATTTAGGGAGAGAGGAGGGGGGACTTCCCTGGTGGTCGCCCACCCCAGGGAAGCACTGATTTACCCGCTCATGACAGCACAGCCCGGCTCCATCCCCCACTCTCACAGGTGTCCCCGAGCTGGACCAGATCCTGACGGTGCTGCTCACCACGGAGATGTTCGTCGGGGGGACCATCGCCTTCGTCCTGGACAACACCATCCCGGGTAACTCAGCACACGGGGCCGGGGCGAGGGGGGAGCGGGAAGGGCCGGGGGCAGATTGGTGTCGGGTTAGAGCTGTCCCAGGGGTGGCAGGGCCAGGGGGTGACGCCGGGCATCGCGGCTGCCGCAGGGACGCAGGAGGAGCGGGGGCTGGTGCAGTGGAAGGCAGGAGCGCACTCGGACAGCACGACCAGCGCCAGCCTCAGGAGCTACGACTTCCCGTTCGGGATGGGCGCGGTGCGCAGGGCGCGGTGGCTCCGCCGGGTGCCCGTGTGCCCGCTCTTCACGGGCTTCAGGGCCCGGGGCGGCGGCGAGGCCCTGGCCGGGCAGGACGGCACGGACGGGGTGTCGGTGTGCACCAAGGTCTGAGCGAGGGCGGCGCTCCTGCCCAGCGCTGGAGAGGCCCAGCCGAGCTCCCGGAGGTGCTCTCGGGCTCCATCAGCACCCGCCAAGGCCAAAGCCGAGGGTCTTGGTGCTCGGCTCGGACACAGGGATAGGGAAACGCAACGCTGCTCCTGGGGGACACCCCGAGTTCCCGGGGCACCAGCCTGGGGACTGCCACCCCCCTGCCTTGCTCCACCCCAACCTTCAGCTGGCTGAGGCTCATCCAGCGCTTGCTGAAGCCCGTCTGCCACCACTGGTGCCAGTCAGAGCCCCGAGGCCACCAACTCCCACCCGGGGCCGTGGATTTCCACGCTGTGCCCTCAGCCCCAGCAGGGTGACCCAGCGCTGGTGTGGGCTCTGCGTGGGGCAGTGTCCAGACCAGCCTTGGGAAGCCTAATTTAAGATTATACATTAAAGTAATAAAATATTCAAGCACACAAGCCCTACCAGTGTCTCTGCTGCCTCCTGCACCATTCCCTCAACCCTTCTGCACTGCATCAGCACCTTTCTGTACTCCCTGCCAGGCCACCCGACACGGAGACACGCTGGATTTCATCCAAGGGGGCTCTGCCCTGACCCGGTGCAGCGGGGGAGGCAGCTCAGCACCAGCCCTTGGCAAAACCCTCGTGCGTGGGGAGCCCTGCAGAGCTGGCTTTGTCCTGGTTGTGCCGGTGACACAGCCTGGTGCCGGCAGTGGGTTCCCAGCTGCAGGCACAGAGGTGGCTGATCAGCTTCTTGCCCCCACAGCCCCCTCCTGGGGCTGGAGCAGGAGCGAGAGGAAGCCTGGGTGTGGTACAGACGCTGCTCAGCAGCAGCCTCAGCAGCAGGAGCCACTGACCTCTGCTCCAGTCACATCCCAAACCCCAGGGCAAGACAGCAGCAGCTCCATCCCAGCGGAGACGACTCCAGCAAACATCCCGGTGTTCTGGAGTTGGCTGGGATATGGGAGGGTGATAAAACCCACCTCGGGAGAGCAGCCCACGGCCAGGCAGGTGCTCCACACGCTGGCTCCTGGCTGCTGTGCTCAGCTGCCACCACCCCAAGGTGACCGTGGACAGGCCGAAGCTCACGGACAAGTTGCAGCCACGCAGGGCTCACTGGTGAAACTCCCACTCCTGATAAAAATCAGCTGTGGAACGGTGGTGTGTTATTTCCTGATTTCTGTGTTTAGGTGCTCGAGTCTAAGCCATCTCCAGTGGGAATGCTGGGGTAGTTCTGCTGGCTGTGGGAAGGCCAGCTCTCCGGGAGGGAAGGCAGAGCCTGGGATAACTGCAGCAACATTTCACACAGCGACAGTAAAGTGGGTTCACTGCCTGAATCCCCCACGAGGAAGGGGTTCTGCTGCAGGACACCTGCGGGAAGGCTCTGCCTCCCTCCTCTAGCCCTGCAGAGCTCCAGCTCCTGAGGTGTTCCCGTTTGGTTTAACTAGACCTTCAACCCAAACGACATCAACAGCAAGGCTGGGGCTGAGCCAGGTTGGACTCCATGATCCCTGTGGGTCCAGCTCAGGATATTCCACGATGCATGGACGATTAGGAAGCAGGAACGGACGGGACTGTTGCAGCCACCAAGCAATTCTGCAGTTCCAGACCCACAGCCCATGCCAAGCACCAGGAGCAGCTTTACCGGAGCCATGAGCTGCTCCCAGGGCTGTCAGCGGGGCTGGGCTGGGATCAGTCATGGGGAGTGCGAGGAGAGAAATTCCCATCCCTGCCAGTGTCCAAGGCCAGGCTGGAGAGGGCTTGGAGCAACCTGGGCAAGTGGCAGGTGTCCCTGCCCACAGCAGGGGGTGCAACTGAATCTTTAAGGTCCCTTTTGACCCAAACAGTTCCGTGATTCCATGAAAAGATGAGAGTCCAGCTTCCTCCAGGATCCTGGGCCATCAGGCTGCCCAGCCTTCCAGGCACCACACGCAGTCAGCAGGTACTGCCTGTCTGCAGGCGCTGCCAAGCGAGTTCCCGTGCGAGATGCCCATTCACGAGACAGCCACCACATCAGTTCTACTATTATTTATTTTTTTAAATATTTTTGAAAAAATATAATTTTTTTACAATATTTTCAACTTAAACACTATTCACACTGAACACGTATGGCAGCTTAACCTACCCAAATATGAAGTTTAAGAAGCCAAAACTGTTCTAGCTTTATTAAAAGAGAGAAAAAAAAAACAAACAACCAAAAACCAAAAAAAAAAAAAAAAAAAAAAAAAAAAAAAAAAAAAAAAAAAAAAAAAAAAAAAAAAAAAAAAAAAAAAAAAAAAAAAAAAAAAAAAAAAAAACAAAAAAAAAAAAAAAAAAACAAAAAAAACCCCAAAAAGTCGTCGTGCTGTAGACTATTGTGTAGTGATGATTAAACAAAGCAAGGGAAAAGCACCACTCAAATCACTAATGCCGGGGGTTGCCTGGTTAAATCCAGCTATGGAAGGTCGGATGCTAAGGGTTACATAGGCAGTGCTATGTAGGGCACCGGGGGGCTTGGAGAAACTGTGATCAAACTCACA